TAAACGTTATTTTACTATTTTACATACCAATTTATTGTATTAATAAAATATTCAATTCTGATTGACTTTGTTTTATTTTGTCAGTACCACATATTAAAATTATTCGGAATTCACCGTGCTATTTTTACCAAGTTATCACAACTAAAAATTAACAATGCATTTTTTTCAAAGTAAATAAATGACAAATGTTACAAAAAAGTTTTTTTACTTCCCRATGACTGATATAGTCTATGTATTTTTCATTTTTCATTTATTTTATTATAAGACAAATCTATAAAACTAAGAAGGATGTAATATTGCWACTATATATKAAGTTGTGACAATATAACTAGGAAACTAGGTTAGGTTAGGTAAGTACTCAAATAATGTTATGGTAACAGTGTTCTTGTAGCTATGAACTTGAATTGAAGACTAGATTTTTTTTTTTTTACAGTGGTTTATTCAATTTGTTTCTAAAAAGAACAATTTTAAAGTGTAGAAAGTTATTGGAATTATAAAAAAATAGTTAAAATTGAATTATTCAATATTAAGAAGATGCTACACACATATTTGCAGTCTCCGTCTTACAAGTGCGTAACATATTAATAAATTTATGCTTAGMAAATCACGTTTAATTCCATTAATTTAAAAATTAGAGTAAATGCCCTATTATGAAACTTGATGGTAAGAAATTATCTGTGTTTTTATGATAACTTAGTTTTTTAAGTGAGTTATGAGTATTTTTAATTTACGCTTTTTTATATACCTACCTAAATTGCTACAAAATTGAACTATTGTAAAAAACCCACATACAAACATAGATAATGTCTTAATATCAAGTTTCATAATAGGTCGATTCACTCTTATTTTTAAACTAACGGAGCTAAACGTGATCTGTTAACCGTAAATTTGCTATTTTACACACTTGTAAAACGTAGACCACAAATATGTGTGTAGTTTCCTCTTAACCCAACTTCTTCAATAAGTAGGTAGGTATTGACTTAAAAAAACATTACAGTAGTAAATACCTAATTATATAAATTGTATTTTATGTTTAAGAAACTGTTTTGCTGAATAGCTTATAAAAAAAAATATATATTTTTTTTGATAGAGATAGGTAGTAAAATTACTAATAATAAAAACATTGATTTGCTAATAAAGTAGTGAAGTGGATACATATTACAAAAATGAATAGTAATTGTTTATTCATTTATCCTTTGACAATAAATGAAATTAAAAATAAAATGACAGAGGAGGGATMAAAAATTTAAAAGAATCTTAGATGGATGTAAGAATGGGTACCATTATTACAAAAATATGGAGATCAGCTTTCGTTTAGTGGGTGGCATGTATTATAGTTTTTGAACTTCTTATTTTCTAAATAGTATAGGGTATAATTTGATTCAGTAAATGAATGGTTGGGCAAACATTTTACCGGGAGGCTTTGTTAGAATTGATACGAGATCACTTATCCAAAGCACAGTACTTCTTGTATGTGATAAAATCAATCATGGATCGGAATAGGTGCCCATATTTCTTAAATTTACCATAACACATTGGCGGCTAGTGTGCATGGGGTGTTCTATCAGATTGGAGAGGTAGGGAAATACTTTTGAAAATTGAATTATAATTATTGATTCCGATTACCGAATTTCACAGAATTGGTCGTTATGGAAAAAACTTTTAAGTGTGCTCTGTTCTTGAACTGGTTCCAASACACGAATTGAGGCATATAACATGACGATTTGCTGCTATACAATACCATATGGCTGGCATTTGCGGCAACGATCTTCTTAAAATGAATTTCGTCCAAAACCCAAATGAAGTACAACGTACACAAGTCAAAATTTTGCTTAGTATAGAAGAACAATTTCTGAAATTTCAATTTGTGTTAATTTTAAAGAAATCATCGATACCGTGTAATGCATTGTAATTTATTGTACTTTATTTTATTTATATCATATACGAAGTAGAT